ATTTTGAAAATTCTCCATCCTTCCAAATATCCTGGACTTGGAGTGATGTTTTTCGAATAAATAGAAATTTGATTCAGCAACTGTCCGCCATGTTTACTTGCCGAGACAGCAAAGGTGGCGAGCTTAGTAACCAGGCCTCGAAAATGTTATATTCAGCGCCTGGAGCGGTGAATATAGCGTCATATAAGGAATCGCTCGACCAATCAAATTGCTGGAAACTCTTTGTTCAGCTCTGAAATTACACTAATCATTCATATATTCATGTAACCTGCGCAATATAAATGCAAATTACTATTATTATTATTATCATCATCATTATTATTATTATTATTATTATTATTATTATTATTATTCTCTCCATGATTTTTCTCTCCATGCCACGGGTTTTGTGTTTAGTTGATCACATGATCCGGCTGAGCGTAAGCGGTAGCCTGGGAGCGAGCTCTCTCTTTAAGGTACTTCTCGCTACCCCTTAAGTCTAGCTCGTCGGCTTGTTACGCGAATAAGTAAACTTGCAGTCAAAAATTTCTTTCGGTTGATGAGTCGCTGGGACGCACTGAAGATCGGTTGGTTGGTTGTTCTTATCGTTTAAGTCTTGATCTGTCTTTCAGATTCCAGACCACACCGCAAACGATTGTCCATTGTCATTAATCTCTTGTCCTTATGAACAGATAGGCTGCAAAAAAAAACGGTATTTGGATCAACTTCGACACTTTCTTTCATTACTTTTGACAATATTTTACAATTAACGACAAGATTTGGAGAATTAGATACTTATTTTTACACTGGGATCTCGTTTTTCCCAGTAGGGGAATGAAAAATTGTTCAAGATAGCGGGAGCTCGAAATAAGGGAGCTGGTATATTTTTCTAAAACATTTTAACTTGGAAAAAAAGAATAGATATTTTTAAAAACAGTCGTTAGAAACAATGTTTATTTTATGTGCCGTGCTCAGGTGAACGTAATTACGCTTGAAAAAGTAAATACGTTGTGGACCTGAGCGTTACGGTATAATCCGCATCGCAGGGTTGAAATCAGGCGGTGTTGGACACGACTCGCAAAGCATACCGGGAGAAAATTTCCCTAGAGCGCATTTTCATCTGATCGCTGAACAGCAAACATCTCCACGCGCTGATGGTGATGTGGAAGTATGACTTACAGGAGGTTCGCTCGCTTCCGATGCTGAAAGAAATCTGGAATGACATCCATATCAAATGTTCCGCAGGCCAAGTGATAGTTGTAGATGACTTCTGCTCGATTTACAAAGCCACCATTTTCAGTGCTGAACAGATGATTTTAGGAATCGAAGCTTCGCGGTTCGTCGAATCTGTACCGTTGAAAGATAAATTGTTTCCGTTTCTGACCTCTTCGAATTCGATCTTAACTTGCCGGAATTGAACCTACCTTCGGCACTTTCCTTCTTAGGTATCTTGACTTGTGTATGAAGTGTATGAGTGTATCGCTGACCAANGTGTTTTAGTTTGAAATAGTACGTACATGGCTGAACATCTTTTTTGAGGAAAGCAAAGTTCCATTGCATTGATTTCGTGTTAAGCATGATCAGCTGTAAACTATGCATATATATCACGACTAGAAAGTACAAAGGGACGAGATCGGGATTGAAAAAATTTCCAGTCGAAATACATGCAAGTTTACAGTATAGCACGCTCCTCAAGTTTCGAGACCTCACTGTCTGCTAACGTATGAAACCATAAACTTCCTAACGCGATTGAATAATTACATGTTATCTTGTAGGTTCAACGACAAGAAATGGAATCGCATCTTGAATCTGACGTGAAACCCCATCTTGACTTAGCTTGTGTCAAACTTGAAACACGGACGTTTATTTGGAAGATTGAACACTTTAGTGAAGTTTTGAGGCAAACGAAGGCCGGGGAAATGCTAAGTATCGGTAGTTTTCCATTTTACACGGACAGAACAGAGAGTTGTGGCTACAAGTTAAAAAGTAAAGTACGTATGGCTCCGAACGGTGATGGAACTTACGAGAATACTCACTTATCAGTGTACATCCTCGTCATGAAAGGTGAATATGACGCCATCTTACCCTGGCCTTTCAAGAGGAAAGTTACGTTTACATTGATTGATCAACAAGAAGATCTAGTCGAACGGCAAGACATTACCCAACATTTCACGTCAGGCAATCACCCAGAATCCTTTGCAAGGCCTAAGAGTGAGGATAGCAATCTTGGGCTCGGGTTTGCTCAATTTGTTTCTCACGAGGCACTTCATTCAAGGCGCTATATTGTTGATGGCACTTTGTTTTTTCAGGTTGACATCGGCCCATCATCCAGTTAAGGTTCTCTTGTTATTTCTATGATCAGTTTTCACACGCGCCCTTTTCAGGAGGCTAAGAGACACAAAGAACGTTATAATTCAAGGATAATTCAGGAAATTGAACCTACCTTCGGCACTTTCCTTCCTAGGTATCTCGACTTGTGTATGAAGTGTATGAGTGTATCGCTGACCAACAACATGGTTGTTGACAGATATTATGTTTTCGTTCGACGATAAGAGAGCTGAGAAGTAAAACCTACGAAGAAAAGGGATGAATAATTCGAAATAAAAGCAATGTTTTGTCCTTGAAAACTTGTGTAAAGCTTGATTAATCGAGTTTCGCCCGCTGTACTTCTTTATTAATCAAATGGAATCATAAACAGCTTGCTAATGAGCTATGGCTCTTTCAAAATAAAAAAAAATAATTTGCAATAAATGGTAAGGAATTAATGAGATTTACGCTGTGAAGGAAGGTATATGTAGGGGATTAATGAGATGTCTTGTTGTGTAGGTATATGTGGGGGATCGATGAGTAGTATGCTGTGTAGGTATATGTAAGGGATTAATGAGATGTAGTCTGTGTAGGTATATGTAGGGGATTAATGAGATGTAGTCTGTGTAGGTATATGTAGGGGATTAATGAGATGTAGGCTGTGTAGGTATATGTAGGGGATTAATGAGATGT